AGTAAAAGTCATGATTTTTATTGCTTTTTCAATTTTTTCTTGAAACTGTATTTTTTTTTCTCTTACTATGAGCATGGTAGTGGATCCAAAAACCATCGACAGTTTTGTGACAGTGCTTTAATTTGTGTTGCTAATAAAGAATCAGCAGCTTTACCCACTGTGTCTTTTGTACTATCAGTGTAAATATCAACACAGTGAAAGGGCAAATAACCTAGTAAATTCTTGTTTTCACAGAAAGTGAACCACCATAAAATGCTTACACTGCTGTTGCTTACCATGCTAATGTAAGCTATTTTCTATTGATTTCCTGTTCTGTCAAGTAGGGGTTTAGTTCCCCAACATTAAACCAGCACCCTCATTTTATTTTTACATTTTTCAATATGATCATAACATACTGTTGTTTTTAAGAAATATTTAATTTTTATTTTATTGTTACCATATAAATATTGTTCACTACCAAGCCTAGTAAGATAAAATGAATATTTCTTTGCTTGCATGGTCATCTCTATGTCCTCAGGGGACTGATTCCAGGACTCCCCAGTGGATACCAAAATCTTCAGATACTCAAGTCCCTTATATAAAGCTATTTGTTTAATATTTGCATATCACATAATCTATGCACATCATCTAACATACCTCTTTTTTTTTTTGGGTGGGGGGGTGTTAGGGATTGAACCCAGGACCTCAAACATGCTGTGCAAGTGCTCTACCACTGAATTAAACCTCCAGACTTTCCCATCTCTAGATAACTTACAATACTTAATATAATGCAAATGATTTGTTAATAGTTTTTATACAGTAGGGAATTAGGGAAATTACAGGAAAAAAATCATACTCAGTACTGACAATTTTTTTTCCAAATAGTTTTGATCCACAATTGGTTGAATCTGAAGATGAGGAACCCACAGATATATAGGGCCAAATGTATTCTTTTTTATTTTGACCTAAAGTTGATTATTGTCTTGGTTCTTGGTGTCTATTTTTATGTGACTCAGTTCTGCGGTCCTATCACAAATTTGTCTCGGTTTTCCAGTCAATTTGTGAAAATTCAAAAAATTCTGTTCTGTGCAGTTAAGCCTAGGATGCTCCATCAGGCCCATTCCGCCCCCACCCCCCCCCCCCCCCCCCCCGAGAAATCCCTTCTGCAGGCCTTCTTCTCTTGCTCCAATATGGAACAGCTGCTTGTTCAGCCTGCAACTCAGCCTTCTTCCAGGGATATTCCCTAACTGCTCAGATGAAGGGAAGGAACCTGAGATGGTGGTTTAGAGCTCATTTTTCCAAATTTTGTAACTAACAGCCTTGGTTGTCGTCATTATCAATTTTGTTTTGTTCCCCTTTTTCTTGTCTGTTTTGTTTTTTCAGTCCTGGGAATTGAACCCAGGGAGCACTCTACACTGAGCTATATCTGTAGCCCTTTTCTTTTTTGGGGGGTGGGGGGGTAACCAGGGATTTAATTTAGGGGCACTCAACCGCTGAGGCACATCTCCAGCCCTATTTTGTATTTTATTTATAGAGACAGGATCTCTCTGAGTTGCTTAGGGCCTCACTAAATTGTTGAGGCTGGCTTTGAACTCGAGATCCTCCTGTCTCAGCCTCCCGAGTTGCTGAAATTACAGTTGTGTGCCACCGTGCCCAGTGCCCTTTTCATTCTTTAAATTTTGAGATAAGGTCTTGCTAAATTACTGAAGCTGGCTTGGAATTTGCCATCCTCCTGCCTCAGTCTCCTGAGTAGCTGGGATTACCAGTGTACACCACCACACTTGGTTCTGGGGTTCCTCCATATCTCCTTCCCTGTTGTTAGCAATCTCGTGTTTCCAAATCCCCAAACTCTCTGGAATTCTGCTGCACGAATTGGCTACGTCCTTCACTGCCCTCCCCAAGAAGGCTCTTGTTTTTCACATTTCTCAACTCTTCTGACTGCTCAACATGCTTTCCATCTTCCAAAAGTTTCTGAAGTTTCAGGTCTGCTGTTGTCTCCCCTTCCATTCTTTTTTGTCTTTGTGGTATTGTACCTTTAAAAAATATATCTTATTCTCATTTTAGAGGCGTTTTAGGAAGGGAGTAAAGATAACACATTCTCTCAATTTGTCATGTTTGATTTGACACCCAGTTTTTGTATTTGGAACTACGTGTTCTGAGGCTTTGTTCATTATAAGCTCCTTAGAGCTAGTGAGATTTGTGCTCTGGGAGATTTACAAACCCATCTCCTCAGCTGCCTTTATTGTGTACCACTGCCACAACAGAACTCAAAGACTGGAAGAGAATTTGATGAAGCAAATAACACACTCACAAAAAGGTGAAAAAAATTTAGAAAACATAACAATCATTGAAAATAGATGGTAACATGTAACTCTGAGTAGGAGGTGACATCTGAGCCAAGTTTTGGTGCATAAATTCTATTTGCAGTTGATGAAAGGCAGAGGAAAAGAATCTCAGAAAAACATGAGCAGTGACTTGAATATGGGGGTGACCATGACATATTTATGGAACAGTAGAGAACAGTTTGACTGTTAGAAAGTAGTTGAGTAGGTGGGTTTCCTTTAATGTGCTTTAGAATTTTACTTTATATAAATGGTGGGAGGGAAGAATTAAAGTACTGAGTAGTTAGATCTGAAATGACTGTGAAGACTAGTAAATACCAAGATTCTTTAATTTTTTACACTGATTATTTATAATATTCCTCCCCTTAATTGCTTTTTGTTACGTTGATTAATAATTATTTCAAAAAGTAAAAACAGTATAAAAGGGTACAAGGACACATCTTACTCCTATAAATCATCATCCACCTTGTGTTACCCCCACAGGCAGCTACTCTTAACTTTCATTTTATTCTATCCAGTTTTCTTTATGCAAATGCAAATGAGTTAATATCTTATTTCTTGCCTCCCTAAATCTGTTTCCTATGGCTGCCATGACAAATTTTCACAAATCGGATGACTTAAAACAACAGAAATTTATTCTCATACAGTTCTGAAGAATAGAAGTCTGAAATCAAAGTGTCATCAAGATTGGGTGTGGTGGCCTAAGCCTGTAATCCCAGCAACTCAGGGAGGCTGAGGCAGGAGGATTGAAAGTTCAAAGCAAGCCTCGGCAATTTAGTGAGCCCCTACGCAATTTAGTGAGACCCTGTCTCAAAATAAAAAAGAAAATGGGCTGGGGATGTAGCTCAGTGATAAAGCATCCCTGGATTAAATCCCTAATACCCCCCCCCAAAAAAAAGATGGGTGGGTCACCTGGGCTGTGTTCCATTTGAGACTCTGAGTAAAATCCTTCCTTGCCTCTCCCTGGTTTCTGGTAGTGGCTATCAGTCCTTGGTGCTCCTTGGCCACAACTGCATCACTCTCATCTCTACCTCTGTCATCACATGGGGTCTCCCATGTGTCTTTATTTTTACGTAGGATTTTCATTCTCTTATAAGAACCTCAGCCATATTGGATTAAGGCCCACCTTAACTTTATTACATCTGCAAAGACTTTTTAAAGACATTTTTTTCAAATAAGATCATATTCTCAAGTACAGGGGGTTAGGACTTCAACATATTTGGGGGGGTATATAATTCAATCCATAACTCTTCATTTCTCAAACAGAGCTAACACCCTATATCTACTATTTTGCAGCTTACAATTAAAATATAACTGTGTATCTTAGGATTCTTCCACATCAGTGATCTTATTCTCTTTTTAGATCGCAGCATGTTCCACTGTGTGGCTCTATTGTAGTTTATTGATCAGTTCCCTAATAATGGACACTTGGCTTGTTTACAATCTTTGACTATTTCAATGAGTAGCTTGTACATATATCATTTTGTGTGTGTGTGGAAGTCCATCTGTATGATAGATTCCAACAAGTGGGTTTGTTAGGTCCAAGAATAAATGTATGTGTGATTATGGCAGTATTTCCACATTCCTTTCATAGGTGTTATGCCATGTTACATTCCCACTAATGATGTATGAGAATGATCAAACCTTTAGACTTACCAATCTGTGATATGAGAAGTGACATTTCCATTGAACTTTAATGTTTATTTTTCTTATTATGCACCTCCACATCTTCAACATCATTTTATATTATTATTTTGTATAAACTTTTAGCCAGAAAACTTGGCCAGGTAGAAACTTGTATTATAGTATAACATCAGTTATATAGAATTATAATTAAATACCTTAACTTAGGTTATTTTCCAGAGTGGGCTCTCTCCTGGGGAAATATGACTCATCCTTCTTACTTTAGTGACTCAAGTAACAGAACAAATTAATTTTCAGTTAGGTCAGATACAATTTAACAGCAGGGATGAGTGTATACCACTTCACAAAGCTTATTATCTATTCAATGTTCTCTAAATAAGCTAAAGAAGTGTTTATTTAATGCCCACTATAGAAAGCTGAAAGGCACTTTTGGAGAAGTCAAGTTCCATATCAAACACCCTCGTCTTTCTACCCTACTCTCCTGCTCTTCCTAGTTGGCTGTACTTGCTTTCTGTCTTCTTGCAATTGTACCCCCCCCCCTTTTTTTTTAATTCCCGGTGCTAAGAATCACATCCAAGGCCTTGTACATGCCCAACCCTTTTTATTTTTTTATTTTGAGATAATTTAGTCTCCTAAATTGCCCAAGCTGCCCTAGAATTTGCTATCCTTGTGTTTCAGATTGCCAAGTGGCTAGGATTGCAGGCATGGGCCACTGTACCTAGCTTGTATCTCTTTTTGGTGGTGCTGGGGATTGAATTTGGGGCCTTGTGCATGCAAGGCAAGCACTCTACCAACTGAGCTATATTCCCAGCCCTTGTATCATTCTTAATAAGAGCAACTTTCCAATCTCATGAGTAAAGTGTCAATGTGATTTGAATACTGCCAACTCTCTCATTGTCACAATCAAATAACAGATTGTTTAATGTTCTGACTCTTAGTTTTTCACAGTTTTCTTCTTACGAAGTATCTAGAGCCATCTATATTATTGTCTTGTTTTTTTAGTTGTGTCCAAAGGCCATATTCCCTTACTTGCAGGTGGTACTGTGAAGGCAAGGAGCTTGAAAATTCTCCAGACATTCACATCGTCCAGGAAGGAAATCTGCATTCGCTAACCATTGCTGAAGCCTTTGAAGAGGACACAGGACGCTATTCCTGCTTCGCTTCCAACATCTATGGGACAGATTCAACTTCTGCTGAAATTTATATAGAAGGTAACGCAAAATACTCTTGAAGCTTAATGCATATATTTATAATAAATACATTTTTTTAATTTTTTCAGTTGTCAATTAACCTTTAATTTATTTATTTATTTGTATGTGTTGCTGAGAATTGAACCCAGTGCCTTACACATGCTAGGCAAGCACCCTACCAGTGAGCTACAACCCCAGCCCTAAGTAAACATTTATTGAGGGCTATTCTACCAAAAAAAAAAAAAAAGTAAACTTACATATTGATGAATGTATATTATGATGAGATACAGAAAACAAGTGAAATAAATATATAAAATATATAATATGGTAGGTATATGTAACTAGAAAAATAGCAAGAAAGATGGCTAGGAATTATATGTGTATGCGTGTGAGTGTGTGGGTGTGTGCGTGCGTGTGTGTGTGTGTGTGTGTGTGATTTTAGATAAGGTGGCAGTGAAGATTTCCCTAACCAAGTGACATTTGAATGGAGACCTAGGGAAGTGAGAAAGTGAGCCCCAAAGATAGTCAAGAGAAAACCACACAAGGAAAAGGAAGCAGCAAGTGCAGTGGCCCTGAGGTGAGAGTCTTAAGGTAGAGAGGAGCCAGCATGGCCAGGCTCCTCATGCCAAGGGAAAAAGTAATATGAGAACTACTAGGGAGCAGGAAGGTCACAAGGTGGAGACTAGTCTGGGCAAATTAAGGAGATTATGGCTCAAATATACACACACACACACACACACGTGTGTGTGTGTGTGTGTGTGTAGAATGTAGTTTGATGGTAGAGTGCTTACCTAGCATCTGTGAGGTCCTGAGTTTAATCCTTAACACCACAAAAAGAAGAGAAATGAAAGGAGAATTTGGGGCTGTGGTGTAGCTCAGTGGTAGAGCACTTTAGCACGTGTGAGGCCATGGTTTCAATTCCCAGTACCACCCAAAACAACACAAAACAAACAAACAAACAAAAAGTAATAGAAGATGAGGTCAAAAGTTCAAGATGGGGTTAAGGTAGAGGGAGGTAGATGAGCAGATCATACAAATCTTTGTACGTTGTTGCAAGGACTTTGGTTTTACTCTGAGGGAGATGGGAAATTCTGGAGGGTTTTAAGCAGAGAGATGGCATGACCTGATTTAGTTTTTAACAGAGTCACTCTTGCTTCTTGTTGAGAATATATTGCAGGGAGTCAAAAATAGAAGCATGGATACCAGTTGGGAACCTTGGAAAAGCATTTATCTCAGCAGAAAACTTAGATGATTAATTTTAGGAAAGAAATCAATCTATGTTACTCCTGTATCTACTAAGTTTTGTTCCTATTTTAAGTCATCCTCTGAGTTTTTTTCTGGGGACCATTCACCAGTACTTTTTCTACCTATTATACCTTAGGTACACCTTGGTTTTAGCACTTACATATTGTACTACTATGGCATAAATGTTTGTTTACCAACTAGATTGCAAGGCCAGGACTGTCTCATCTTCTTTACTTTTATCTCCAATACCTTACATAGTACCAAGTGCATAGTGAATATTTGATAAACATTTATTAAAGAAATACACTAGTAGGAATGTGTTATGTTTTTATCCTCAAATTCTCAGAGTATGATAAATACCTCCAGATTTAGCTCTGTTATATCTTCCTGGAATTCACTATCTTGAGAAGTAAATCCGGGATCAAGGCTGTGCTAACAGTGCTGAGATTGGATTGTTGGATTTTTTTTCTTTGTGGCAACTGGACTTCAAACACCCCCACTTCCAAAATGAAGTTTGACCTGCTAATATTAGGGCAGGACGGAAGAACATCCACCTACACCTACAATGTCTAGAATCCAATGTAATCCCTTCTTCTAGTCAATCTGTGTAGGCCAGAGCATGAGAATTTCTAACACCAAAGAATGGCTGCAAACCTTGACAGTCCAATGATATCAGGAGGTGTTTACATAGTAGAGCACTTTGAAGTTGGACCAACTAGCTTGAACTCCATCACTAACTAGCTATGTGACCTTGAATAATTCCTTCAACTTTAAGGTGTCTTTCTCCTCATTTGTCAAATTGAATGTTAGTGTAGGGAATCACTGAGTTCATTTCTAAGTCTAAGATTCTTCAAATATCTAGAACTAGCTTTAAAATATTGAAATTATTGTCTTTAAAAGCTCATATTTTGTTTTTATTTCTCCAGGAGTTTCTTCTTCTGATTCAGAAGGGGACCCTAACAAGGAAGAGATGAATCGGTAATTCTAATTTTCTATCTTATAGACTCAGTATCCTCAGATACTAAAAAAAGTCCTAACTGGTTACTAGAACTTGAGGAGAGAGGCAGATTTGGAGAAGACTCTACTTATTTTGCTTAAGTCTTGCTTAAGATTAATTGGAATATTCTCAGTATTTAAAATAGGAAGTGATACTTATAAAATATTGTATTTATATCTACAGAGTATAAAAACCAATAACCTAATGGTTTAAAAAGCTCATGTTTAGATAGTACTATAAGAACACAAAATTTGGTTATCCTAAATTATATATGAAATATATTTTAACTTTTATATATTATTCATAATTTTATGTATTTTATATACATATCATTTTTAAAATATTTACATCTCTTATTTACTGTGTGTGTATATGTATAGATGTGTATATATGTTCATGTATATATATATATATTTGATCTGGAATAGTTATATCCTTTTTGCTAAATAGTTGTACTATATACTGAACAAACTTGCATCCATTCATTTGTTAGTTTCTGCAACCATTGACTGAGCACCTACATTACCCCAGGCACTACACTAGATGCAATGGATATTAAGAAAAGTCAAGCCTGGCATGGTGGTGCATGCCTATGATCCCAACGGCTCAGGAGGCTGAGGCAGGAGGATCTTGACTTCAAAGCCAGCCTCAGCAACTTAGTGAGGCCCTAAGCAACTCAGTGAGCCCCTGTCTCAATATAAAATATAAAAAGGGGCTGGGGATGTGGCTCAGTGGTTGAGCGCCCCTGGGTTTAATTTCCGGTACAAAATAAAGAAAGATCAGATGCTTCCTTCTTTCAAGAGGTTCACACCTAGTAGAAGACAATGTAGAGGTAGCAAGAAATGAATACCAAACATATAGATGATAAGAGTAATATAGTATAATAGTCTATGATGACCATGTGCATGGTGTACAGGACTTGGTACAAAAGAATAGTTATTGGTTGGGGGTGCAGGGAGAGAACAGGAAAGGTTTTACAGAGTGGGTGATCCTAAACTGAACCTTTGAAGAACAGAAGGAGGATACCCCCCAAAAGGGAGACAGGAACATTCCAGCAGAAGTCCTGGGAATAGAAACAGACATAGTAACCATTCCTGAGGCTTCCTGAAACAAACAGAAATATGTGGGAGCCTGATTGAAGAGACGTAAACTGTGTTACCCCTATAGAGGGTAAGCTCTGCGAGTGCAGAAATCGTTTTACTCTTCAGAATCTTTTGTGTTTATCTACCTGGCAATGAGAATTTGCTTTCAGCTCCTGTGCAGGAACATTCAGGACCAGAGTAAAGGATATTCCCTTTAACCCACTTCCTTATCATTCTCAAGACCTTGCTTCAGTATCTTCTTCCTGCTGGCCTTTGATGCCAGCCTCTTTCTTAGAGGGATGCTCCAGCCCTCTTCTCTCTTCTACAGTCTCCAAAATATTACTGATTATTCTCTATGAGATCATTCTGCTCCTATCATTTTCCTTCTTAAAAAAAAAAGATTATCTATGGGAAAACAAAATAAGAAACATTAAAAAAAAACTTAAAGTCTTATTCTGTGGAGGATCCACTAGTCTTACCTGGCCTCCATCTTGGGCTGTCTACACTGCTGACATCTCACTCAAAACAATGCATGGTTCATTTTTTATTTTTCATGGCAAACTCCTACTTATCCTTCACAACCTGGACTAAGTATTCTTCCTCTTGGGTTTCTGTAATAAATTCCTCTTCTATTACACACTCATCACTCCTTTCTCAAGGTTCCTATAAATATGTTAAAAATTTAATGGTATGAATTTTGATACATTAATTATGCAAGAAATAGTTCATTTATTTATTTGCTATAAGTCTAATTGTAATAGTTAAAATTTGACTTCATTTTTATATAATAGAAACCCAAATTAACTGTGATTTAAATGAGATAGATAGTTCTCATTTACATAAAAATCAGGTAAATGGCTTCGCATTATAGTAGGTTTCAGTCTGCTTCCAGGTTTCTGCTTCATCTCATGTTAAGGTACACCCTCATTTTCTTAGTTTAAGATACCAAGGAATAAAGGGTATGTCCATCTCCTTTGTAAGGTCAGCTCTCTAAATAGCATATTTCACTATCCCTTATATCCCATGACTAAAAAGAGCCATGTGACCACACCTAGTTGCAATGAAGACTGGGGCGTGTAGTCTTTTGGAACAGTCATGTAAGGAAATCAGGGGTTTTGTTATTGCAGAAGAAAACCCATGCTTTAGAGACAATGATAGGCTTTGCATCACCATGTAATTCTGCTTCTTAGACTCCATCCTGCCTGGTTAGGATCTGTCATTATTGGGTGTCTCTTCCCCCCTCCACAGTTATGCAAAGATTCCTTTGATATATATGAAGCAGTGTGGGAGCAAGCATCATTCTAAGCACCTGGCATGAATTATCTAACTCTCACAAAACCCCTGTGGAATAAGAATTACTATTCCCCCATTTTAGAGTTGGGGAAGCTGAGACACAAGAGAGGTAACATTCAGACCAAAGACAGGGAAGCCCTCTGTCAATGGTCATCTCTTCTCCTGGGTTACAGGTGAGAGGCCCATGTGCTAAATCTCAGTGGCTCTTTAAGTCCAGTGTTGTTTCTTCCCGACATGCTTCAGGACTATGTCTTTAGCAAGACTGGAACCTTCCACCTTTCCTCTGAATTTAGGTTCTTCCCCTTGCCAGGCTGTCTGGCCAGATCCACAGATCTTTCTGCCTTCCCCACAAACCAAATAATCTTTCCTCCACAACCTTGTCAAGAATACTTCCTGGTTCTTTTGACCTTAAAAAAAATCCCTTCAAATTATGTAAACTTGAAGATTTTGGATTATTATTGCTTTCTGCCATGTCACAATCCCAGAGATAACAATATGCAAAGCTTGGCCTCTTACTTGGAACAACAAGAGGGAAAATACAGACAACAACAAAACAAATCTAAACAAGATATCCTCTGCACAGGGTTCTGTCACATCTTAGATCTCAGGTGGTTTGACTCCCTGGCTACACTGAAAGCAAGTGACCCAAGGACAATGGTGGCATATCCATCTTCATATTTGCATTTCCTAACAAACTGTATGGAAAGGAAACTCTCGGTAAACTCTCAGTAAATATTTGTAGAATATTGTCAAACAAAGATTTGTATTACATCCAACTATAAGGAGTGATGATATTATTAGTTTTGCTGACAGACTTTTCACACACATTTATAGTTCTGATTTATAATCTATATTTTAAAAATTTCTCAGAATCCAGAAGCCAAATGAGGTGTCATTACCTCCTACTACCTCTGCTGCCATTCCTCCAGCAGTGCCCCAAGCCCAGCATTTGGTGACCCAGCCCAGAGTGTCAACCATCCAGCAGGTATAAGAATCTAGGTGAAACACAAGTGCCATGGACTGTGATGGACATGCACTGTGACCATGAGCTTCTTGTATAGCATGATCATACTCTTCTTTGTTGCAACTAGTCATCATAATAATCACCTTGGGGGCTGGGGGTGCAGGTCAGTGGTAAATAACTTACCACTGTTGATTTGTTACATTATCTATCCATGCACAGTCAAAGCCCTGAGTTCAACCTCCAGCACTGCAAAACAATTAAATTTAATTTAAAAATAAATCCAATTTAAAAAAACATACAAAATAAAGTTACATGATAATTAATTTGTACTTCCCATGTATGGAGAAAGTGTTGCTATTGCTTTGTGAACTTCTTGCCTAGTTACATGGGCAAATATCAAAGGAAAAGAAACTCTTTATGAGCTTGTCTGACATTCCAGCTTTATAAAGAGGGCTGATTACATATCTAGTGAGCTGCCAGCTCTCAGACTGACCCAGGACAAACATTCTATACTGTAAAACTTAGTTTCAAGGAGATGCAAAGAATTCTACTTTCTGAGTAAGCCGGTTCAAAATTATTTTTTAGAAAACAGCAAAAGGCTCTTATCTTTTGAGTCAATAAAAAATAATAATAATATATGCTTATAGCCACACATGGTGGCACCTGCCTATAATTCCAGTAACTCGGGAGGCTGAGCCACCAGGATTGCCAGTTCAAGACCAGCCTCAGCAACTAGTGAGACCTTGTCTCAAAAGAAATAAAAAGGGCTGGGGATGTACCTCAGTGGTAATTTGCCCTGGGTTCAATCCCTAGAACTGTAGTAATAATAACAACAACATCAATAACAAAATGCTTATTGTAAAAACATTTAAAAAGTACAGACATATATTGAATAAAAACTTTGGCCAAATTTCTACCTCTATGCCCCCTCTTCTCAGAAGTACCTCTTATTAATAGTTTCTAGCAGATAGTTCCAGGCATTTTCTAGGCAAATATAAAAATAAATATGTATGTGTATACTTTAAAACATATAAAATCATACTATCTAAATATGTTTGTAAGATGTTATAGATATGTTTGTTGACCAATGATAATACATTTAAATGTGTTATCTACAACCTTTTTGAAAAAAGTTCAGAATTTCTTCTCTAGCCCATTTAGTAATGCAGAGAGATCAAGTTTTAGTCCTAATCCACCGGTTTTCAAACTGTGATTGAGGCAGCCCTAGGATTTTATGGGACCTCTTCAGGAGGTTAGGTCTGATTACACGCATCCATGTGAAGGGGCTGGAGTAGAGTGGACACCACATATTTTACAGCCACCATGACCTGGAAAGAAATGCAATCAATTCAGACTAAAATCTGAAGTCATAAACTTAGAAAGCATGTCTTTTGATTTAGGGATTAATTTTACACATCAAATTCTGTAGATTTGTTGTATTATCTATTCATGTAATGATTTTAGTGACCATGACTCTATTGCTTGTTCTCCTCTAACAGTGTCAGAGCCCTACCAACTATTTGCAAGGATTGGATGGAAAACCTATAATTGCAGCTCCTGTGTTTACAAAGGTAATCAAAATATGGCTTCCTTCTGTCCTGGCTTTAGAGACACTGCAGCATCCAAATGAAGTTTATGAAACAAGATTTACTGATTTTATCTCAGGACTTTGGTCTCTTTATAAGTACAAATAAGCTTTAGGGTTTTTTGTTTTTTGTTTTTTGTTTTGTTTTGTTGGTTGGTTGGTTGGTTTGAGGTAGTTGTCCAAATATCATTCCCAGTCCTTGATTTCTAATGTCAGTTTTTACACTGATCCTGATGGTCACACCTGAGGATCAGGTGATAAGATTCTAGCCACTTACTACTCTAGAGGTTTCTCTGGACTTTCAGAAGAATCTAGTTGCAGGTACCTGTTTTTGTGCTCAAGGAGTTGAAGTTAAATGCTCTTGGGAGGTTTAATGGAAAGCCTCACTCAAGGACAAAGAGCTTTCTCTTTCTGTTCCATGGTGTCAGCTATTGTGGAGTCATCAAATTCTGAGTCACACAGTCTTTGTATTTAGAACTGGAAAATTCAGTTGGGCACTTTCATTTACAAATGAAAAAAACCTCGGGAAAGCCAGAGAGATTAAGCGATTTGGCCAATGTCACAAGACTAGTTAGTAGCAGAATGAGGATGAGAAACAGGTTCTCCCACTTCTCAGCCTTTCGTTCTTTCTTTTATATAATAAACTGTTCATATGTTGCCCCAGACAGTAAGTTCAAAGGTGAAAAAGTTGAGTCACATTGCATTTTTCAGTATTCTGAAGACCAAATGGGTGCAACCTATGCCTGGATTTATGTTCATTGTTTGTATGAACACCCACCTAAGTCTCAAAAGATTTTATCTTCTAAGATATAAGCATGGATATTACAGAAGTGGTTATCAATTGTGGTTAACTCTCTTCTCCAAGGGTCCATTGGTAATGTTTGGAAACATTTTTGGTTGTCACAATTGGAGTGGGGCTGCTAACATTCTATACTGAATAGGATGGCAGCCCCCAAATAAAGAATTATCCAGCCCCAAGTGTCAGTAGGGCTGAAGTTGAGAAATCCCAATTTCAAGCAAAATGGTCAAAGTAGTCTCTTGCAATGAGTACTAATACTTAAAAGAGCTAAGTTCACAACTTCCTCAGAAGCATTCATTTCAAGGAAATCCTGACATATCATACCGACTCATGCAAAATGGTTTTCCAAAATCCATCATGAAGTCTAGCTGTGACTACCTATATCTATATCAGTTAGGCACATTTTCATAGGTAAAACAAGATGCCTCTCAATTTTTCAGGTTGGTTTACTATAACCTGCCCCTGAGGTTTCAGTTTTACTATTTTCAAAGACTTGAAATAGAAAAACAATGTGTTGTGACTAGTGGATACAAGACTTTGAGGAGGAATTAAAGAAGGACCTTTGTGAGGGGGGAGTGTGTGTATGTGTGCACGTGTAAAATATAGCTAACAGAGCTTTTTCTTGTCATCTCTTATTGCCACTGCTAAATCACCTAGTCTTACGATACAGCGTAAGTGCCACAAAAATGTTCTATTTATTTTAATTTGCCATACCCATTTGTCATACCTTAGAGACTGCTGACTCTTCAAGGCAGCTAAACCACCAAGGAGTTTATACCTAGTCCCAATAAAGTCTCCTCTCTTCTGTTCTGCAACACCATCTGCCTCACCAGATAGTTGACACCAAAGAGGTGTCCTTATCTCCACTCAATTTCAAATCTTAGGTGCCCTGGTTCCAGGCATTCAGATCACCCAGAGCACATGTGTCTGGTACATTTATCAAAGATAAAGTTGTTTACTCTCTCTTTCCCAATCACCTTGAAAGCTCCCTGTAATGAATAGATAGGAGTTCATAAGGTAATAATAGGTCCAAAGCTGTTTTTATTATTTTAACAAGTCTGATAGGAACCTTTAACATTAATTCTTTATGCTTCGTTTTCACAGGTTGATGAACACATCAGGTTTAGTTGCTTTTGTGTGGTGACTGATTGCCTCCTAATTAGATTGGCAGATACATATGCCTTTAATAAATAAAATGGGGAAATGAATTAATCATTAGATAAGGCATTTGTTAAGTAAAATCTCTGTATGCATTAGCTTCATGGTGGGAAAATGGTCCCTAGTACCTAAACTCTGGGAAGGCTTTCTCTGCCCTTTGGACTTGTGATTTTGCCTCCATAAATGGGATGAGGATTGTACAGACATAGGGCACTAGGATAGGCTGTGGCTCAAATTCCAGAGAGACTTATCAACCACAGTGTGCTTGCGTTAGTTTCCGTCAGCCAGGGCAAGATTGAGGTCATAGTCACTGCCAGTGTCATTAGCGAATTTCTGAGTCAGAGCTACCAAGGATGGTTTCACGTGGCCATGAGCAATGATAACAGATCATTTGCATATGTTTGTTCGGGTTATCCCTGCTCTATTTACTTCTTTAGGAACTTCCTGAGCTCCAGCCCCTGTGACTCACTTTCTATACTGCCCAACAAAGCATTTCTTTACCAGTTATGGCAAGAAGGCTTGTTTTGTTTTAAAGCAATGATTAGAGAGCAGAGTTTTATTTAACTCCTTTGGCCATGGAAAATTACTTTCTAAACAAGGATAAAATGAAAAGGAGAGTGGCCCAGAAAAGTAGTGGTAGAGTTTAAGAGAAGGTGATGGAATATATATACTTGTTCACTAATCTACTTAAGAGAATTTCTGTGTTTTTGTTTGTGGTGCCAGGAGCCAACCAAGGGCCTCATACATATTCTGCAAGTGTTCTACCTCTGAGCTCCTAGCTCCCCAGCCCTCTTAGGTTTTTAAATGCTTTTAATTGTGGGTAGAGCTAGACTATCCTTTGTTCTCTATGCAGCATCAAAAATATTTTCACTTTGCCATGGGGGGAACAGGACTCACACTTCTTGAGCAGGAGAGAGGGAGGTGATCAAATTAGAATCTTGCTCCTATCACTGCTCCCACTCAACAGCAGCTGCTCTGGCAGGCTTTCAAGGCTGCAGCGGCTCTGGCTCCAACTACTTCAGCAGTAATTTGAAGAGTGCAAGGGGGCAGGGGAAGTGAGAATTTGAAGAGCACTTCATTATATAATGGCAGAGGAGGGAAACCCTGAAATCATGGGGCCCAGTAGTTGAATCCAGACTTCTGAAGATTTCATGGGCTCTTCTCCCTAGCCCATCAATTCCAGAGAATTTTTCACAGAGCACCTGTGACAATCCAGGGGGAAAGGACTTTCAATAAGTTTTTTAATCTGTAAAAAGTGCTCTGATCCAACTCCAGCCTAAAGTGCTGTACACATACACTTGCATCATGTCCCAAGGTGCAAAAATATTGACTGGGTTTAAAAACAAATAAAATGATAAAGTGAACCTTGTAGCTGACATTTTTTAAAAATATATTTATTTTTTAGTTTTAGGTGGACACAATATCTTTATTTTATTTTTATGTGGTGCTGAGAATCGAACCCAGCGCCTCATGCATGCTAGGTGAGTGCGCTACCACTTGAGCCACATCCTCAGCCCCTAGCTGACATCTTTTAATCAATAACAGAGATGCTCCTTCTCAAGAATGTCCCTAAATGATATTTGTGGGACGAGATCTACCAAGCAGAAATTGTATCTTTTCAACTCACATTTATAACATCTGGCACTGTGCTTGGGACAAAGCAGGCACATTGTAATATTTATTCTGTGGCAAAGAACTTCCATTTAACTTTCCAGTTAAGAAAGGATTCTTCTTTTTTTCAACATTTTGTGGCTTTAGAGCAGAAGAGAAAAAATTCAGTGTCAAGTGACCATGCTTCTCATGTCGAGTTATTTGGAAGAATGTTCTCCCAAATGATCAGTATGGTGATGACACACAAGACAAGAGTTGCACTTTGGACATTGTTTACCTCTGTAGACCTTTGGTTTTGGGGCCTTTAGTCCAGATCCATAATTCCTAGTAAAGATTAACTTAATCTTTCCTAGGCCATTTCATTTGTCTTATTCATCTGTAGTGAGGTTAATATGACTGTGACTAAGCATGTACATATCATATGTTTTAGTCTGTTTCCTGTTACTATAACAAAATACCTGAGGCTGGGTACTTATAAGAGGAAGAGTGTATTTAATTCACAGTTCTATAGGTTCAAGGGCATGGCACTGGCATCAGCTTGACTCTAGTAAAGACCTCATGGTGGATAATATCACAATGATGGGTTTGAGAAGGAGAGAACACATGGCAAGAGGGAAGTCAGAGTGAGGGGAGGGGCCGGTAACAATTTCCCATCAGGCCCCACCTCTTAAACATCCCACCATTTCTTAACATCATCACACTGGGGACCAAGCTTTTAACAAATATACCTTTATGGGAGCACTTGAACTATATCCAAAGCACATCATCTTGGTTCCATTAGGAAATAGCCTAAGACCCACTATGACAAACAACTGACTTGGACCTTGATATATGCAATATGACCAGCCCTCCTTTTTTTTTTTTGGTACTAGGGATTGAACACAGGGTTACTTAACCCCTGAGCCAGATACCCAGCCCTGTTTTATATTTTATTTAGAGACAGGGTCTCACTGAATTGCTTAGGGCATTGCTAAGTTGCTGAGGCTGGCTTTGAACTCACAATCCTCCTGCCTCAGCCTCCTAAGCCTCTGGGATTACAGGCATGCACCAGAGTGCCCATCCTAGCTCCTTCTTAAGAGACTTTTCAGAAAGAACAATTTTCAGTGGTACAACTATTACTGTCCTTATAATTATGGCTTTCATCAGCTTTCTCTAAGCGGATTGTAAGAAGACTTTGGCATCTTTTTTTACTCAGTATTGATTCACATTGGAATGAAATTTCACCTCCCATTATGGATATTAGTGGGTTTGTTCCATACACTGTAGCTCAAAGGTATCTTGGCTGGCCTCTCAAATAGAACAAAGTTCTTAGTTTTCAGTGTCAAATGAATAATAACAACCAGCCAGTGTTGGTGTAAATCATAAGTAACATAATTTCGCAAGGAAATCCTTTTTCAAGAAGGCTTTAGTATATTCTCTGTAGATTGAGAGTTGGCTTACATATCCAAACTGCCAGCCATGTTGAACATACAGGTTAACCTCATTTTGCTCACATCCATTTTGTAAATGTGTCATATTTCATTTAATCCCTTCTGTCACCACCTTTTGTACTGGGGGGGATGGTTGGGAAGGAATGGTTTTCTAATGTGTTTGCCTTAAGATGGAATGAAAACTCCACTATGTATGAATTCCAGAGAAGTGTCTGATACTGCTAAAGTTTTCCATAGGCCCCAAGGCTCCCATTTTGGCACAGAATTTTCTCAGAGGTCAAGGTGAAGGACATATTCACCTGTTTGCCAGGAGCAGCCAAGACCCATTGATGCTTTCAGCATTTCATTCTTGTCACTGGATGAGGTAGACAAAGAAAAACCAAATTTTCAATAAAATAGTTCTTTATTAATTCAGAAACCACCACCCTGTGCTAATTCCATCATGAATCACTTCAACAAGCAAATTTGGGGATGGGGGAGAAAAAAAACACTAACTTTGAACTACAGTGCCCCCTGGCTGTCACAATATCAACGTACACACACCCGTGAGGTAAAAGTGCAGTTAAAGGCTTGTGGTTCCTTACTTCTTACTCCCCACCCTTGCAGTCCTTAGGCAAATGCTATAAATGTGAAAAGCCTTGCACAAAATATTGTAAGTTGTTCGAACAAAAGCTGTAAAAAACACCACAAATTATTTTTAATAGTGAATGACAAAAGGAAGAAGGAACTACTGACTTTCCCTTTCTCTTACGTAAGAGCCAGTATTTCCTAAATGCAGGTTCAAAAATTGTAATAACAGAAAGCCTGCAGCCTTTGGTACTTACAGAACTTAGAGAAAGTTTAATCAGAATATTTCCATGTTTATAGTCTTTAGGCCAAAATGAAAAATAAAAATATGCTCTCACACATGCCAAAGAAACATTTCATAATCAAACGGAATACCAACCACACCAAAGAATGTGTGATTTTTAAGCTCACAAATCATAATGAATGAGGATGTAGTTCTGAAAGAAAAATGTGCATTCCGTACTCCCATAGAGTCTAGAATCAACTTTACAATTACAGTATCAACTTTACAATTCAAAGTGAATTTTGTAAGCCTTTTATCATGGAGGTATCAAAAAGCTTTTCACAGAATTACAACATATTTTACAATGACTCCATGTGTGACTATGATTATATAAAGGTTGTCATTGTTTATATGCCTCAATAGATCAGTGAGACTATACTTGTTAAGACCACATAAGGAAAACAAAACAGCAAGATAAAAAGCAATTTCTAGGACAACAGAATGTAAACTAAGCAAAGCCTGCAAGACAAATCAGTTACTTGGCCACAGAGCTGTTCCACATTCTGAACAACCACAATCTTTGAGGAATAATACTTTACTTCTGTGTTGAATCACCTAGTATATATTAACCACAGATTTTTAAATTATTATCATTATTGTTATTACTTCTGAAAACCAAATTCTACGTGGGTGTTTACAAACAGAAGTATTTTACTAAAAATTAGCTTCTTTACTCAAAATGTTTTGCAGGATATTTAATAAATTAACTTAGCACAGCAACAGCTGCAAAAGGAGAAAATAGTGAGGAAAGAGCTTTATAGAGGTCAGTGGTTCCATATTAAAAAATAGACTCAAATGTACATCCACGGACTCAAAATTGTAGAAAATTTAGAAAAAAATCCAAATATAAAAGAGAGAGTGTCTCTTTGATACCAGGGATTGAACTCAGGGGCACTTGACCACTGAGTCATATCTCCAGACCTATTTTGTATTTTATTTAGAGGCAGGGCGTCACTGAATTGTTTAGCACCTCACTTTTGCTGAAGCTGGCTTTGAACTCATGATCCTCCTGCCTTGGCTTCCCAAGCCACTGGGATTACAGGCATGTGCCACCATGTCCAGTGAGACAGTGTCTTTTTCTAAAATTCAACACTGAGACTACATTCCAAAGATATATATTTTTTGGTTCTAACAATATTCTTCTCATTCTAGATGCTACAAAATTTGTCAGCCTCTGAGGGTCAGCTGGTTGTCTTTGAATGCAGAGTAAAAGGAGCTCCATCCCCTAAAGTTGAGTGGTACAGAGAAGGGACCTTGATAGAAGATTCTCCAGATTTTAGGATTCTACAGAAAAGTAAGTTGTTGCTGTAAAACTATTTTTCTGATAATTTATTTTTATAAATTGATTATATGTTTATTTTTAAAGCTTTAGCAACTAATTAAAAATATACTAAAAAACTAAGTAAAAAAATCACCTATAATCATATTCCACAAGACTAAACTCTATTATTATTTGGGTGTATATTCCCAAGAATTTTTTTCCCATGCATATCCTTTAAAATAAAACTGTCATGCTCTTTTTTTGGAAATGTATTTTTTTACTCAATATTTCATGGGCATATTTCTATGTTAATATAGAACTTTATTAATCTCAAAAAATATCTATTTCATATTTAATCTCCTGTTGAAAATTTAAATTGTTACAATTTTTTACTACTATAAACTAGGCTTCAATGATGCTAACAGCGCAAATCTTTGTGATTATCCATAGTTGTTACTTTACAATAACTTTATAGCACTGAATTGCTACTGTCAGTACATAGTTTTTAGGCTTTTATTATATGTATTGCCAAAATGCCATCTCAAAAAGTTGAGATAAATTTAGACTGATTATACAATTGATCAGCCAAATTGAGACCCTTTGGGATGTGCAGGGACCCCAAGTATAAACTAGGTCTGTCCCAGACACATGTTGCCCTACCTATACTCTAGCACAACCAGCAATGCAGGGAAATGCCTTTTGCCTCACATGTTCACCAACAATGGTTACTAACCATTTTTTTTAAATCTTCACTAATTTTATAGGCCAAGTATAGGAACAGTTATTTTAATCTGCATATCGTTAATCAGATATGGGAGGGTACTTTTTTGTATTTATTTAGGTTTTTTATTTCTTTTATTTCATGTTGAGTTTTGATTCTTTTTATTGTAAGAAAGCTTTATATAGTCAAGTGGTTGATTCTTTTTTTTTTTTTTTTTTTTATCACATACTTTTCAGCTTGTCTTCCAATGCTTTCTCTTTGATCCTTTGCAGTCACAAAATAAGTTGCAACTTACTTGCTCCTTTGGTTAACTATACAGAACAATCTACTATAGAAAAAACTTGAGAAGAAAATTCGGTAAAATGTTGGTAGTCTTTCTCTGAGCAGCAAGTCTAGGATCAATTATTTTGCTTCCACTTGCATTTTTGTGTTTTTCAGTTTTTCTGTGATGAACATGTGTTACTTTTATTTATTTGTTTTTAGTTTTTAGGGGTTTTGTTTTTTTAATGGAGAAAATAACACACAAACCTTATTACATGCCCAAATACATAGGAGTATTAGACTTCTCTTTATCTTTTTGATTAACAAAAATTATATAAACTAGTCATGGTGGTGCACATCTATAATCCCAGAGGCTCTGGAGGCTGAGGAGGAACATCACAAGTTCAAAGTCAAGCCTCAGCAATTTAGCAGGCTCTGAGCAACTCAGTGAGACTCTGTCTCAAAATAAGATATAAAAAAAGCTGGGGATTGGCTCAGTAGTTAAGCACCCCTGAGTTCAATCCCTGGTACCAAAAAATAAAGTTATATAATTTATTTTATACAACATGATGTTTGACATATGCATACATTGTGGAATGACTAAATTGAGCTAACATGCATTACCTCACATCACCCCCTCCTTCTTTCATGGCTGAGTTATTTGCTTTTTCTCTTTTTCTTTTTTTTTTCTTTTTTTAAGAAAGAGTGAGAAAGAGAGAGAGTGAGAGAGAGAGAATTTTTTTTTTAATATTTATTTTTTTAGTTCTCGGCGGACACAGCTTCTTTGTTTGTATGTGGTGCTGAGGATCGAACCCAGGCCGCAAGCATGCCACGCGAGCGCGCTACTTACCGCTTGAGCCACCTCCCCAGCCCCTGCTTTTTTTTTCTTAATCTGTTTCTTCTAATCTCAAAATGATATTACTTTGATCAGTATGAAATGTGAATAAGAACTACTGCAGGTTTTAGCAGTAGTAGCAGAAACGATAATATATTCTAATACCATTTAAACTGAGAGAGAAAAAAAAAAAAACTCCAATAGTTCTATCCATGTAGAATATTCTAAGTTCAACAACAACTTATGGAGTGCCTGCAATTGTATAAATATTCACTGAACTCTAGTATCTGGTACTACAGTGGGCATTTTCAGGTATGCCAAGGAAATTTAAGATATAGAACCTGTTCTCAAGCAATCTATTATCTATTCTGAGGCTCTTGATCCTAGAAACCACAGAGCAAAAGGTATATTCTACATTTTACTGGCATACGAAAGTCCAAAATCAAACATGATCTCTCAGTCTTCACGAGCTTTTTTTCAGGTAAGGCCGAACAAGCACCAATCAAAACAAGTCATTTCAGAGTCCCAGCCAACTCAGGAACTTTGCCTTGCCAAAGGTTTATGTACCCCAGTGGACCCAGGTGTGTTCCAAGGTGCAGCAACATCATTTAGATGCTCTCTTGCTGCCCTTTTCCGTCCCTATTGAGGTTGTGGGTGCTTAGGTCATTAACATTGATAGATTAACTTTATCTAATTACTCCTGAGTATGCAAGAGACTACTAAATTCTACAGGAAACTTCTGATTTAAAAATGTAATCTCTCAGAAAAAAGCAAATGCTCAGAATTTTTTTCTTTCTTTTTCTTTTAGAACCTCGATCCATGGCAGAACCAGGTAAAGATCATTACAACAGGGGCTGGGGATATAGCTCAGTTGGTAGAGAGCTTGCCTTATATGCACAGGTCCTGGGTTTGATCCCCAGCACCAAAAAAAACAAAATTAACGAAGATTATTGCAACTTTAATTTTTTAATATATAATGAGTGATTTAATATAGATAAGAACATGTTGAAATTACACTGGTGTCAAGAGAAAGAGAAAATTAAAGTTTTAGTAAAAAAAGATCCAAATGAACCCTAGTTATTATAAGAAAAGGAAAAGATGGGAGAATTTGCAAATTTTGAATATATATGCAATACCTGGTATGAATGCAGTGAATTCTTCATTTTTTAAATTTTTTTTTAGTTGTAAATGGTCCTTTATTTTATTCTATCTATCTATCTATTTATTTATTTATATGTGGTGCTGAGGATTGAACCATTCCAGGCAAGGCTCTACCACTGAGCCACAACCCCAGCCCTAGTTCTTGAGTTTTGAGGATTATTTCACAGGAATTATTTCCCCACCATCCTTGGCCTCCAATCATACCGTTCTTAAACTGGGCAGAGCAATTTTTATGATACCAGATCAATTCCAATTCCACAACCTATGTGCCTCAAATTCGATGCATCAAATTTTGAAATTTGCAGAGACACAATAAAATGTTTAATTTGATGCTATTATATTTCGTTAGAGGAATACTAGATGAGATAGATGGAAGTGACAGTAGGTGAAACTCTCACCACTAGAAAATACAAGTCATTCACAAATCAGGACGTGAACATCTGAGCACCCTCTCCATAACCACCTTGAAGAATCAGATTGTTTGTATCCCTGGGTGAGAAAGATGGTTTGGAATTTCATTATCATAATTATTTTTTCCTGACAACTGAATGGAAATGAATTTCACTCAAGAAGACCTTGAACTCCATGTTGCTTGACCCTACACTAAGGTCTTAGAGATATTTGGCAAAGACAAGAAGTGGATTTACTTTTTTTTTTTTTTTTGCTTATAGTGGAGTGGTACTTTGCCCTTCAAAAATGTTCGAGCCTTTTGTCACAGGAAAGCAGGCAGCTGAAACTCAACTTTTGTTCTGATGAAGGGAAAATTTAAAGTCAGATACCAAACATCATGCAAGAGGACTTTACGGGAAGTGAAAATAAAGTAGAAGAAAAGTGAGGCTTAAGCAAAAAGCACTCTCAAGGGAGAGAACCGGCCGTCTCCAAGTAGAGAATAAAGGAGACAATACTGTCCCCAATTTTATTACTACTATTTGATGTTTACCAGAAGTGGGGACCACCTTCTGTACTCTTTGCCAACTCCTTTTTCAGTGGGGAGGGAGGGTGGAGTTTTTGACTTTAGTTGGTCTTCTCCAGAACTGTCATGGTGGCCTTCCTATTTAGGAGGCTTCATTTACAAGTCAATCCCATGTTAATGTGGGCACGGTCAGGTCATTAGCTGGTCAGAAGTTACCTTAGTTCGAAAAGAATCTTCCTTCCCAGATAATTGGAGACACTGATAGCCATAATTCCTAGCTTTATGTTAACATCAATGGACCCTGCCAAGAGTTAATCCCATTAATCCTTTTCTCTTGACATATTTCCCAATTAGGTCCTTTTGCTTCTGTTTATTTTTTACAAATTAACTACCACCCTTTACTTTCTTGTCTACTTTGGAAGTAGTTTTAAAAAGGACCCTAAAGTAACTTAAAGAACACTTGTGACCTTGCCTGCATTTCACTGCTCATTGCTAGCTACTGTCAAACCCCTTGATACTTCTGATCAGAGTGGGAGTTTTCATTAGGCAGTCAAATACACAAAATAGCTTCGGAATCACCCCAAAATAAACCCAAACAGGTCCTACTGTTTTCAGTTCCATGACTGAAAATTCTGCAGCTAGAAAGTTCTTTCTCCCACCTTGTTTAATGCAAATACGTTTGGAGAATAACAGGCAGGTATAGTGTCGTGTGAATAACTTTACAAGATCATTTTCTGAGAATGGATTGCTGAAAGATAAAGAGTGTGAATGTTTGGGAAAGGGAACAGAAAAATGCAGCATAGGTCAAGGGTTTAAAATAAGGTCTGAGAGTCACCAAAACCAAACTTGCTTCTACATGATTTATGATTCTTTAGGTAGAAAGTAAAAAAGACTTAAATAAAAACAGCTTAAACAATAATAAAAAGGTATTTTCTCACATAATAAGACTCCCTAAGAAATGGCAGTCCTGGTATTGGTTACTTTAGCAGCTTGGAGATCATCAGAGGCCAAGCCTTTTTTCCATTTTGCATTCTGCCATCAGCAGAGTATTCTCTTAGACTGCTTCTACTCTTAGACCTAAGATGGCTGCCACAGTTCCAGGTATCACAACCATATGACAACATCCAGAGGCAAAAACAGGAAATTTCACTATCTTCTGTTCCCTTTAAAGGACAAGGAAAACTTTCCAGAAACTCTCTAGCAGATTTTCCATGACATCTCATTGACCTGATAGTTTCACATACTACCACTTAACAAGAATAGTTAGCATGACTGGTTTACCAATCATGATTCATCACCTGAGGTTGAGAGGAGCCAGCTTATCTTAAAGGTGCGGGGAATCAAACCCAGGGCCTCATGCATGCTAGGCAAACGCTCTACCACTGAGCCAAATCCCCAGCCCCTTTTTACTTGTATTGACTTTTATAGAATCATCTGATTGATATTAGTAAATTCTGTAATTTCACTTTCATGATGAAGTCAGTAACAATTCTGTTTTACTGGCATGTAGAGGAGATTTGCACTTTGGTCATCGCTGAAGTGTTTGCAGAAGACTCTGGCTGCTTCACATGTACAGCAAGCAATAAGTATGGCACAGTGTCAAGCATTGCACAGCTGGATGTGAGAGGTAAGGCTTCTTATGTGCCAGAACAGTTTAGACTGATTTGGAGTGTGAGTGTGCAGAGTTTGTGTCACCCTTCCTTAGTGTTTCACATATGAATCAAAAAAGAATTGAATTAAGAAAAATGTTCTTGAATCATGTCCAATATTCAATTTCTTATAGTATTTAAAGCCACTACCTGTATCACCTCAGTTTTTCAGCTATTGCTTTCATACTTCATAAGAAAACCTCTCCTTGGGTTGTTTTGCTGTGCTGGGGATCAAACACAGGGTCTTATATATGGTAGGCAAACTCTCCATCACTGAACTACATCCTCAGCCTTCCTTGGTGTTATATGAATGATTAGATACCTACATTTTGTGTGTGTGTGTGTGTGCGCACGCACACCAGGGATTGAACCCATGGGCGTTTAACCACTGAGCATATATACCCAACCCTTTTTTTTATTTTGAGACAGGGCCTCACTGAGTTGCTGAGGCTGACTCTGAACTTTTGATCCCCCTACCTCAGCCTCTTGAGCCGCTGGGATTACAGGTGTGTGTGCACCACCATGCCTGTCTTAAACACCCAAAATTCTTTCTAAAAGAGTGCTTATTTTTCATTTTGTTTTGTTGGCTTTTTGTTTTTGTTTTTGGTGGTGCTGGGGATCAAACCCAGGGCCTGTAGACTACTAAGTATGTGCTCTACTACTGAGCAATATCCACAGCTGAGTACGTAGATTTTAAATTTATTTTTTTCCTGCATCATCACCCTTCTTTAACACCCCAGATTCTGATGTGTTTTTGTCAAACATTTTTCTATTGTACACTTACCTGGTTTGATTACTGTCCCTTTTGTTTTTTGGGTTTTTTAAAATATTTTTTTAGTTGTCAATGGACCTTTATTTTTTTTTTATTTACTTATATGCAATGCTGAGAATTGAACCCAGTGCCTCACACTTGCTAGGCAAGCACTCTACCACTGAGCCACAACCCCAGCCCCTTACTGTCCCTTTTGTACCCCAACCTGAGGTTACAATCCTATTCAACCTTGTTGGGTAAGGCTAACTCAGGTCATGTGATTGTCCTTTCAGGAAATGAAGACCTCAGCAATAATGGGTCTCTTCACCCTGCCAGCTCCACCACCAACCTGGCTGTTCTTGATCAACAGCCATCCCCACCCAACCCAGAGCCTCCTTCTGTGGAACAGGCCCCCAAACCCAAACTAGAAGGGGTTCTGGTGAACCATAATGAGCCCCGATCCAGCTCCAGGATTGGGCTCCGTGTGCACTTCAACCTGCCTGAAGATGACAAAGGAAGCGAAGCATCCTCTGAAGCTGGAGTTGCAACCACCAACCAGACCAGGCCCAATTCCTTCCCGGAGAGGTTCAACGGACAGGCCACAAAAATCCCAGAGCCTTCCTCACCCGTCAAAGAGCCCCCTCCAGTTCTGGCCAAACCCAAACTGTAAGTAAAAAAATTAGAATGAATAACCAAGAGTACCTGTGAGTCTTTGTTGAGTCTGATCTTCTTAAAAATGATGGATTTGGGGCTGAAGTTGGGGCTCAGTGGTAGAGTGCTTGCCTGATGTGTGAGGCCCTGAGTTTCTATTCTCAGCACCACATGTAAATAAATAAGTAAAATAAGTAGAATAAAGGTCCATGAACAACTAAAAAAAAAACAAATATATATATATATATATATATATATATATATATTTTTTTAAATGATGCATTTGAAAAAGGGAATTATCAAACAAGAAAAGACACATCAAGTGCATTGTAAAAGTACATCCTTGAGGTGGCAAACACCTATAATCCCAGTGGCTCAGGAAGCTGAGATAGGAGAATCTCAAGTTCAAAGCCGGCCTCAGCAACTGCGAGGCACTAAGCAACTCAGTGAGACCCTGTCTCTAATTAAATATAAAATAGGGCTGGGGATGTGGCTCAGTGACCGAGTGTCCCCTGAATTCAGTCCCCAGTACCCAAAAAAAAAGTATATCCTTACATCACTGTGGATTTACTTTCACTATCATCCATATGATTAATGTTCTACCTCAAAACAATGTTCAGAAAGAACATTGACCTTATAACTCTGTCTAAGGTCAGAGTTCTCTGGGTAAATGTCTATGCTCTTATTTATTTATTTATTTATTTATTTTTCAGTACTGGAGATTGAACCCACAAGCTTTCTATCATTGAGCTATACCCTTTTTTGTTTTGTTTTGTTCTGAGACAGGGTCTCACTAAGTTGCTGAGGCTGGCCTCCAACTTGTGATCCTCTTAAGTTGCTAAGATTACAGGCGTGCACCACCACACCCTATGTGTGCTCTTTTTATAAAGCCCTTTCTTTTGTCTAATAACATAGATAGTCTGTGATTTAAACCTTGTATTTACCATTTCTGCTTCAATTTAAGCTTTTGTATTGATTATGGAAAGCTATTTAGTTTTTTTTTTTTTAGACAGTTCTTTGCTATTGCTGGATACACTGTATTAATCATAGTAGGTTTTATATAAATATCATAGGTTGAAAGAAGTGATGGTTTTGTGATTCAACCCAGAAACTGTGGTTGTCATCATAACTCTCTAGAGAACCTCTGTCAGAGCTGTGTGGCAATGTTTAATGATCATCCAACCAAAGCAAATACAGAGAATAGCTGGGTGCAGTGGTACACTCCTATAATCCCAGAGGTTTGGGAGGCTGAGGCAGGAGGATCGAGAGTTCAAAGCCAGCCTCAGCAAGGATAAGGCACTAAGCAACTCAGTGAGACTCTGTCTCTAAAAATGAAAATAAAAAATATAAAAAAAAAACCAGGGCTTAGATGTGGCTCAGTGGTCCAGTGCCCCTGAGTTTAATCCCAAGTACCATTAAAAAAGAAAAAATACAAAGCATGATACTAGTATGTTCAATTTCATCTACACAACAAAATGATAGAAATTATGTTTATAATTCCACAAAAATTTTTAAGTATCAACAAGAACATCTACAGCAATAGTGCCCCCACTAGGTATTGCTCAGAGCTAACCATGAGATGTTCACGGGACACAAGTCATGCTGTTTAGTTTTGTTATTGAACCAGGCAGGCCCATGTTGCCCACCACACAGCATGCCAATCACTGAAACCAAGAGTTTTACAAAATAAAGTTCATTCATGAGGTGAGCAGATGGGAGATCAAGTCTTAATCTGCCTCCCTAAAAATAAAATTGGGGGATGTTTATTGGCTGAGACGTGGGGAAGGATGATCAGATCAAAATTCATCAACTGTTGGGGCTGTGGGTTTGACTCCGTAGTAGAGTGCTTGTCTAGCATATGCAGGGCTCTGGGTTATACCCAGCAATGCAAATAAATAAATAAGTAAATTAAAAGGAGAGTGACAAATTTCATCAACTGTTACCATCATGAGAAACAAGTAACTAAGAGCAGGTGAAGACTAGAGGGTTTATTCAAGAACTAAGAGAGAAGGTTTATTTAGATCATCCCTCTGTTTCAGATCTATATTCTTAACACATAAGGCAAAATTCTGGGCATAAAATTCAATTTTATAAAATGTGTCTAAGCAAGTCACTTCCATAAATGTCTCAGTGCCCTCAAAGTTAATCCAGGAAGCAAGAATCCACTTAAAGTGAAAAGAAGGGAGGAGATTATTGAAGTGATATAGACAGGAACAGAAAACAAAACTCTCCCAGCAAAAGAACTGGAGAGCTGGGAGCTAGGCCTCCTGGCCTGTGACTCAGGGATCATATAGTCATGCTAGCCTTGCCCACTGAAGCTCATCCAGCTGACTCACCTTCTGTCTGGGCGTCTCTTTGTTTTTCTTTACATATCTGCTCTATTCTTCACCATTTGCAGACTTATCAATTCTTTTGTGACCCATCATGACTAAGTTCCCCCTCTCTAACATGATCTGTGCCAAATACCACACCTGATTTACTTGTTCTCAGCAGCTTGATTCCAAATTCTAATTGGTCCAGACTGGTCTGATGACCACTCCAACCACCTAGCTTTGCAGAGGATTTGTTTGGAAGGAAGAGAAGTTACATGGGTCAGGTCAGGAGCCATGTATGGAAGTACTCAAAGGAGGGAGTTGTGGGGAATAGGTAACTCCAAACAACGTCCTTGGGGATTGCCTTCTTTGTAGGGCTTTCTTTTACCCAGGGACTGTGTTAGGGGCTATTAGGTATGTTGGTTAGGGTTAAATGGAGCTTCATATTACAGAAAGCCAAAATAAACACAATGAGGGTTCATTTTCTCTCACAAAAAGGAAGCAAACAGGGCATTCTGGGGCTGTTTTGGTAGTTACATGGTCATGAAGAACCCAGTGTCCACCAGTCATGAGGCACCACTTATAATCCCAATGACTCTAAGTCTGAGGCAAGAGGATCGAAAGTTCAAGGGCAATTTAGTGAGAACTTGTATAAAAATAAAAAATAAAAGAGCCGGGGGTGTAGCACAGTGTTGGAACACTCCTAGGTTCGATTCCCAGAACATAGTACAGAGGGGGAAAAAAAAGTCTCCTATCTTTCCCATCTGCTATCTCCAATGCTGGCTTCTCTAGGGACCTCCTGTAGTCCAAGATAGCTGATGATCATCTAGTCATCATGTTTGCATTTCAGGTAGCAGAAAGAGTGAATGGGCAAAAGTCACGTTCTTTTTTTTTTTTTTTTTTTTTGTTCTTTTTTCTTTTTTTAGTTGTAGATGGACACAATACCTTTAATTAATTAATTAATTAATTTTTATGTGGTGCTGAGGATTGAGCCCAGTGCCTCACATGTGCTAAGCAAGAGCTTTACCATTGAGCTACAACCCCAGCCCAGGAGTCACATTCTTAATGTCAGAAGCCCTTTTAAGGAATCTTTTTAGAGGTGTCATCAAAAATCTTCTGCTTATATCTCATTGGCCAAAATTTAGGCATATGGTATAATAATTGCAAAGTTAGCTGCACATACTGCCACCATGAATAAAATCAGGTTCTTTATGAAGAGGAGAATTAAGTAGACATATGAGATTTCTAATTAGTTAAAAAAAAAATTCTTTCTGCTAATTTATGTAGTGGTACCCTCTAAAAATATAGTCTTAAGCTCTATATACTTCCTTGGTATTTCTTGCCTTCCTTAAGTCTTCTCTTAATTGTGTGTACATATTTTACAGTAGTGTAAGTGTGAATGTATATGTATGTATCTTCACACATACACATACACACCTTTTATGAATCCACATGCCTATAACCTTTTCTTGCCAGTTTTTAAAAAATTGCCTCAGAATAATTGCACATATTTATGAGGTAAAGTGTGATATTTCAATACACAAATATAATGTATACTGATCGAATCAGATAATTAGTATATCCATCACCTCAAAAATGTGTCATTTCATTGTGTTGGGATTTCTGTTACTAATTTTAACCCCACTGGTTTTAACCTCACAAGTTTTGCATTAAAAATATAGACTCATTCTTCTCAAGGATATAGTGTTTTGCTTATTCCTTCAGTTTGTCATTCATATGGAAAATAGAGATAATGTCAATTTTAAAACTGCCCTGGGAATGGAGGCTGTCATTCTTAAACACCATATCATCAAAGCCTAGATAAGTCTGACTTTGAAATTTTCTACTTGAATATCAAGCTGTTCAAAGCAGTGATTTTTCATCCTACTTACACTCTAGAATAAACTGTGGAGGTTTTTTTAAAAAAAAAAATTATGCTTTCCATCTCAATTGAACCAGAATCTCTCCGTGGATTATTTTAATGTGCAACCAATTTGGAAACCATTTGTTAGAATTAGAGAAATGACCTGAATTGCTACCTTCCATACCCAGGAAACAAAAACAATTGTTAACATTTAAAATGTAAATGTAAAATGTCAGACAAAAGTCAGGATATACTGGGAAAGCCTATGCTTTGGGGACAAGTGTTTCTGTAGAACATTGGTTCTGAGTCCTGGATGATTATAAGATCACCTACGACCTTATAGTAAGAGCATTACTCTGAATTGGAAACTGTAGGCCTAGAGTTTGTGTTTCCAGCCCTACAGGATATACTAAGTCTGGCTGAACTTTAAGAACAACTGACTTACATTCACAAAAGATAACAATAACTGGACCTGGATCCCTTCCCAGGCCAATTAACTCTCTGGGTATTGGTGCCTAAACCAGTGAAGTTTGTTTATATTTTACAGTTTCCAGGTGATATAATGTGCTACCAGTCAGTGAGCACCTCAAAAACCATAGCCCATCTACTTATATTACTCAGTGATGTCCTTGGAAATGTTTAAAAACTGACAGGGTGAGAAATCCATAATGTTTAGCACCTGCCAATTTCCTTCCACCATTGAAGATTTCAAATTACAAAAGAAGGACACTGAATCAGTAGTTCAGAGGAGATGGACTCTAGTTGTCTTTCTGAGCCAGAAAGAGCTAACTCTAGAACACACTGCCCAACATTGATGCCAAAAAGGCTTTCAAAAGTACTTAATACTCAAGTTTGTTGTGTTATGATTATGTGACATTTTATCTCAAAATTTCAAAATTCCTACTGTGCATGGTGGTGTACAACTGTAATCCCAGTAACTCGGGAGAATGAGCCAGGAGGATTGCAAGTTTGAGAACAGCCTCAGCAACTTAGTGAGGCCCTAAGCAACCTATCAAGAAACATTATTAAAAAAAAATAATAAGGGCTCAGTGATAAACCACCCTTTAAATTGTTTTAAAAACAATTTTTTTTAAAATCCCTAATAAATTCTTTCATATCCTTATCATTCTGAAACACAGATGTTCATTCTTACAAATTTTGAAAGTTGACTTTTTATAGTTTAGAAGCTAAATACACACACATACACACACACACACAGCCATCACTTCTTGATCACCTAAATGTTTTAGGTGATTATCAATTCTCACAACAACACTGAGATATTATTACTATTTTATTTATAAGGGACTCTGGATCAGAAAAGTCCTGAGACTACCCAAAGCCACACACATAATAGGGATTGAGTCAGAATTAGGACTCAATGTGTCTTTCTATCCATCTAGTTAAACTGAGTTTTACAAAAGGGAAGATATTTTAAAGTAAGAGAAGAGAGTTGATAATATATAGCAAGAAAGCCTTAGTATAAACCTGATATCAGAAATCTGCATAGCAACTAGAAATGAGCAGCTGAGTTTATAGCAATTTATTGGCAGGGTGTTATTTGGCACAAGAGGAATCACTTAGGATTTTTAAACTAGTATGTACGGTGATTCATCTTCTCTTCTTTCACCCTTTCATTGCATTTTGCGCCTTCGTTAGGATATGGCAGATTCCAGATGTTATTTGTAAATAATCACTGGTTATTATATGTCAGCATTGGAGTATGTATGTCCCACTAGATTGTCAGTACTCAAAAGCTCTCAAGCATATTTATATCTTCAACCTAGCAAAGTAGACACTCAGAAGACTCAATGAAAGTTTTTGAGCTGGGTGCTGTGGTACACACCTGTAATCCCACTGGCTCAGGAGGCTGAGGCACGAGGATTGCAAGTTCAAAGCTAGCCTTAGCAACTTAGCTAGGCCCTAAGCAACTTAGTGAGACCCTTTCTCTAAATAAAAAATAAAATGGCTGTGGATGTGGCTCAGTGGTTAAGGTTCAAACCCTGGTACAAAAAAAAAAAAAAAAAGATTGGAATCAATTCCTTGTCCTGATGTAATGAATAAGCTAATTCAAACAGCTGTTTAAAGATCTCTCTAAAACAAGATGAGGTTCTTTCAATGAAAAAAAAAACTGTTCAAAGACATAGTCTCAACTGAATTCTTTCAGAATCTCAATCAAAATAATTTGACCCTAAATCCTATGTATCATTTTGTTTAAGGTTTGTGAACCTCTCTAACCCAATAAAGTCCACTGAACAGTAGAGGCTAACAGGCCATTTAAATTCTTACTTGTAGGAGAAAACTGGATCTTGGCTTTTATTCAATGGGAAATAAAGAAAAATAAGAGCAACTCAACACCAAATGACTTCCTGGACTCTCCTTATCATCCTTTTCCCCCCTAAGATAATTATTCATGCATTACCTTTGCAATTCTTATAACCACAGTACAATATTTCTGCAATGTCATCAGATTAAAATTTACTCAGACTACAAACATGTTCTAAAAACCACATAACACTTTATTCTATAGCAATCACAATATGACCTGCCAAATATAAGATCCATTAAAAATTAAAAGATTTTTTTATACTTTCATATCATTGGAAAAGTCAATACCAGCAGAAACAATGTTTACTGTTTGTATTTTTCTGCTTCTTTTGATTGATTAATTTTTCAATTATGAAGCTATGAAAAGGTTTAATTAAATTTTACTTATACTCCTTTATTCTCTCGGCTTAAGAACTCACTTCTAATATGAGGGAGAGGGGGAGGAAGGAGAGAAAGTTACTGTGCCAAGGAACCAATGCTCTTGAATTCTTAGTTTTATTTAAGACAAAGAGTTTTTTTTATAGATGAGCAAAGGATTACTCAATTTGTAGCACTCCACAGCAGTAATGAAAATAGAACTCAGTCTTTATTTTGTGAAGTCACCCTTTCCACCTATGATAAATTGGAAATGTTAATGAAAAGAAGGAAAAAAGGTGTTAAACTCCAAAAAATTAAGAAAAATCAAGAGGTGAAGGTTGTAGCTCAGTGGCGAAGTGTGTGCTTGGCATGCACAGGCCTTGAAAGAAAAGTGATTAATACAGCATTTTGTCTCAGAGAAATCATCCCTTGCAGGAACTCACACCTGTGCATAGCTCAGCGACTATCCAAGGCTGGGATAGTAAGGAACATTTTCTCTCTCTCTCTCTCTCTCTCTCTCTCTCTCTCTCTCTCTCTCTCTCTCTCTCTCTCTTTTCTAAATTACAGACATTCTATGTTGCACAACTCCAGGGTCACAGCACAAAGAATGCAAAGGGCCCCTTAGAGGAAAAAGGAAAGACAAACTCACCAGTAATTGATGAGCTGATTTCTTGCTGCTTTGGTTTGAGGTTCATAATCAGCATCAGGTTATAAACAGTCCATATATATTTCCTGAAGGATGAGGCTGATGGTAATGCCTCTCTCTCTCCACTCTTGTTTTGTGTGCAGTGATTCCACTCAGTTACAACAACTTCATAACCAAGTCCTACTAGAACAACAACATTTGCAAAACCCATCTCCTTCATCGCCTAAAGAGTTTCCTTTCAACATGAGTGCTTTGAACTCCGTGGCTCCCCCGGCAGTGACCACCTTCAGCAAGCAGGCGAAGGCCCCTCCATCACAGACATTCAGCTTGGCCCGGCCGAAGCATTTCTTCCCCTCTTCGAGTACCACAGCAGCCACTATGTCCCCATCCAGCTCTCCAGTGTTCACCTTGAGCAGCACTTCCCAACCCATTCAGAGGACAGTGAGCAAAGAAAGCCTCTTACTTTCTCACCCCTCTGTGCAAACCAAATCGCCAGGCGCCATTTCCATCTCAAATGAGCCACCCCCTCCAGGTCCAGCAGAGCCAGCAGCACCACCACTTGTGTTTTCCATCCCTAGTGGAAACCAGTTTCAGCCCCACTGTGTGTCACCAACTCCTGTCTCTCCCACCAACCGGATTCAGAACCCAGTGGCTTTCCTCAGCTCTGTTTTGCCATCTCTCCCTATCATCCCTCCCACCAATGCCATGGGACTACCTAAAAGTGCACCATCCACGTAAGTGTCATTAAAGTTTTTTGATGGAAGAGTTGCCAGTTAAGAGGGGACCTATGCCTAGAATAGCCTGGTTTGGGGCAGGAGTTTTGTTTAGTGGATTCCTAGATAAATCCTCTCTGTTAGACAAAAAAATGGGTTTCAAGGACCTTGAACACAGGGCATGATTGCTTTGAATGATTTTTTTTAATTCTATAATCACAATTAAATCTTTATTTTTTCTATAGATCAAGTCTAAACAGTTTCAAAAGCAATAAATTATATTGGCACGTTATTATTTTGTAAACATTATTCACTGAGTCAAAAGATTTAGGTCTTATTAAGTATTTCCCTGTGTCTCTAAACATGACTCACATGAAGGATGTTTCACACCTCAAGTTGAAGCTGGAAATGTGTGATTATACCGTGTTTATGGGATGTCTTTTCCATTCTGTCATTCAGGCACCCAGGACCCCTCCATTTCCCAGGTCATTAAGAGACTTCTTCATTTGGTTGGTGAAAAGAGAAAGAGGGAAGATAGCACACAGAAGAAGTTGGAACACATAGCCGAGAAGTTTACATCACTTCTGTCAGGCCTATTAGCTATACCTCTGTCAGCATGTCTGTCTAATTACAAGGAGCCTGGAGATGTATTTGTTTTGTGCCAAAGAAGAGGATGTGAATGCTGGCAGGCACTAGCAGTTTCTGACACTGACTCCAAAGTAAAATAGAAATTCAGAGGGCTCCACAAGAAATTTATTTAAAAAGAATTAAATGACTTCCATATTTGGAAATCAGAAAATTTGACTAACATAGGTCAGAAAACACATATTTCTTCCATCCACAAGAAAAAAATAATGTAATAATAACAAAGAAACAAAATGACTTAGGAAAATTAGTTAACAATGAAACTAGCAAACTCAGTGGGAAATAGAATCCTACAAATTGGTTGTGTTCTAAATGTAAAGCAAATTATAATCCTTGTGATTATAAGGAATTAATAAGGTTTACAAAAAAGAAAAACTTCAACTTGCGCTTTGAATGATTTTTAATAACTAAAAATTTAAAAAATATCTCTAGAAACAGATTCTCTGTATAGTGCTTAATCCCACAAGTGCCTAATAACTACTGGTATCTGATTTCTAGGCCTTTGTACAATGCTTCATGCTTTTCATGATGTGTTCTGTATGAATTTATTTTATAGGCCCTCCCAGGGATTAATGAAAAAAAATACAAAGTCTCCTCAACCAATGAGTGATGATTACATTCGTGAAGCTAAGAATGCAGTGATTCTAGACTTGGGGAAAAAAATGAGTTTCAGCGATGTCAGATCAAACCAGCAGGTAAGATTGTTGGATTCTGGTAGTTTGAATGGAATTTTATTGTAAGGATGTAATTTTATTTAATTCAGTCCTTGCATACTTAGGTCATCTGACCTCTGACCTGTTGATGCTACAGCTTAGGTGGTAGAGCACTAGCTAAGACTCACACAGGAAGCTCACGTGCAGGAATCTGCAGTTCTTGATTACCCCATTGTTAATTCATTTTACTTGTTTATATGTGTTTGCCTATGATAGAATATACAGTAGTCTCTCCTAATCTGCAGGAGATACTGTCCAAAATGCTCTGTGGATGCTGAAACTGCAGACAGTATCCATCCCCATATGTTTTTTCCTGTATGTGCATAGCTATAATAATGTTTAAATTTTTTTTTGGTGGGGGGGATACTAGGGATTGAACTCAGGAGAACTTGACCACTGGGCCACATCCCCAGCCCTATTTTGAATTTTATTTAGAGACTGGGATCACTGAGTTGCTTAGCACCTCACTTTTGCTGAGGCTGGCTTTGAACTCACAATCCTCCTGCCTCAGCCTCCTGAGCCACTGGGATCATAGGCATGCACTATCTATCACACTGGGCAACAATATTTAATTTAAAAATTAGGCACAGTAAGAGATCAACAACAGTAACTAATAATAAAATAAAATGAACTGGATATGGTGGTACACACCCGTAATCCTAGGTATCAGGAGGCTGAGGACAGAGGATTCAAGTTTGAGGACAGTCTGGGAAATTTAGTGAGACCCTGTCTGAAAATGAAATGAAAGGGACTAAGGATGGAGCGCAGTAGTAAAGTGCCCCTGGATTCCATTTCCAGTACTGCAATAAAAAATGATTATAATAACATACTGTTATAAAATGTATTTAAAACTTTTAAATTTAATTCTGGGGAATTTTTGATTTAATATTTTTGGAACCCAGATGACTGCAGGAAACTGAAACTGTGAAAAGCAAAGTCATGCATAAGAGGGAACTACAATATTCAAGAAGCAGGGAGAGTGTCTGTTGTCTATTCCAGCAATCCTCAGCTCAGCTTAGACAAACACCATAACATCTGAGTATATTGATATCTGTGTCTTGAGATGTTGAGACTTTTAGGAACTTTGAGTTTTAAGCTGTCTTTCACTTGACATCCTTCAACTTTAGGTACCCTGAGGTGTGATCACAAGTTTCTCTCAGTTTTTGTATTGGGTTGAATCACTGAAACAGCCATCAGGCAACATCCTGTTTCACCAAAGAGGAAAGGAAAGCCTGTGAGCATCATGCAAACAGAAGAAAGATACATTATGTGGTTATTTGTGGTTTTGATAATCAAGTGGTTAATATTTAATGCAGGCTTGCATTTCAACTCTTGGTTTATTCCCCAAGATGAGAACTGATAAAATCTATTTTGAAATATAACAAAATTTCGTCAAAACAATATGCCAAATATTGCAGAATTTGTTCCATAAGGGGCAAATTAGAAACAAAGCTCCAGATTTTCCTGACCATATGCTGTTTTCTTTGGTGTTTCTCTTACTTCCAATGGAGTCATAGATATGCAATATTTTGCTATTGTGTTATACATTAGGCAACTTAACTGAGCAGAATCTTTTGAAAATATGCTACTTAAAACTACTTAAATTTTGATTTTTTTTTTTTTTTTTGGGTACTAGAAATTGAATCCAGGGGCACTTAACCACTGAGCTACATCCCCAGCCCATTTATTTATTTATTTATTTATTTTAAAATATTTTTTAGTTGTCAAGGGACCTTTATTTTATTTATTTCTATGTGGTGCTAAGACTCAAACCCAGTGCCTCACCATTGAGCCACAACCCGAGTCCCTAGCTCTTTCATTTTTTGAGTCAGAGTCTTGCTAAATTGCTTAGGGCCTAGCTAAGTTGCTGAGGCTGGCCTGGAACTTGGTATCCTTCTGCCTCAGTCTCCTGAGACACAGGGATTACAGACACATGCCACCCCACCCAGCTTAATTTCTGATTTTTAAATTACTGAACTGAAGCAGAATATTTAAATTTCTCTAAATACCTTTCTCATATATTATTTCTGCAAATGCCAAATCAGCTATTCTTCCCTTCCATCCCCTAAGTAAGAAACTGAAACAGTTGTCAATTGGTTAGTGGTAAACTAGAACTAGATCCCTGTTTTCCTGGAGACTTTTCATTTTCCTTGAAATGCAAAAGCCTTTTTCAGTTTGATGACAATTACTTTCAAGTCCCACAAATGTTGCTCTGTCAAACACAGATTTGTTTTCCTCTGATGCTGTCATCACATTTGTGGTTGTTAATCCTTCTAGGTATCATTGAAATAAGAGCTGTGTTCAGCCTATATCTTTTACAAGGCAGAGAGAGATCAATTAGAATCCTGTAAAAATGACACCAGCTCACACATCAGCTGTTTGATTTTACTTTTATAGTTTCTCTGTAGGTAAATCCAGGCTAATCCATTGCCCAACTCCCAGGAAAGAAGGATGTTTCTCTTAATTACCTGAGATGTGAGAACATGTAAACATGATCTTCCACTAGTTGAGTACCAAAGACCCAGAAGAACTCTCTCTTAAACCTCACTGTGAACTAACTTCAGGGTCCATAGCAAGAACTGGGAAGTCCCTGAAAGCCTCTCAGTCCTCTCTATCTAATTGTCTCTGATATACACATCAGTCTTCTTCTGAAAATCATTATCCTGGGAATTATGATCACTTCATTACAGAATTGGTTTTTAGACTTCATTCTATGCTGTGGACAATGAAAGCCAAGCTATATAAATGAAATTTATGAAACTAAGAAGCTGTGTGAGATAGAATGTTTGCATTAGGTTGACAGATGTCAATTCTGAGAAAGTTTGAAGAAATAAAATGATGACTAGGGGTATGGCTTGGTGGTATTGTTTTGTGCATTGCTGCCTTAGGAAATGATGATGAAAATGTCACGGAGATCTGTTAAGGTTAAGAAAGTTAACTTAGAAAAGTGTAAAAACATGGATGATTGGAGAACAACCATAAAGAAATATGTGAATTAATAGCTATTTATACTTGCAGTCTGAGGACAAAGGAGTCAATCTGTTTTCTCACTTTCCTATTATATGGGTGGTGGTGAACAAATGATTGCTTTAAAAGAATGTGCATTTGTTTTTGCTTTATTTTACTTTGAAAACTTTTAGGTTGAGACAGCTGGCTTCTCTTGTCCTTTTAACATAACAAGTGAATAATAATAATTATTCTAGAACATCCTTGTGGTCTAGCATTACCACATTGTGCTGAGCATGAAAATAAATCAGAAGTCCTTGCATGATGAATGTCACTCACTATAAACAATCTCCTCCCCTTTCTTTGATATATCCACCACTTTTCTTTGATATATCCACAAAAGTACTTCTCTTTTGTAACATTTCAGAGTCTGCCTGCTCTCATTTTACATCATCTTTCCAATTAACAACTAACATTTGCCATTGATTCTTTGAACTTTGTGAAATATAATGATGTCATCCTTTTAGGTGTTCATATTTACTAAAATTTTTAGCTTTCTAAACTGACAACCAAGTGTCTTTGTGCGATGGGTAAGCCAAGAGAGGGGTGCCCTGATTTCTTTTTAGGCTGCATCATTTCTTCCTTTTGGGTAGCATTCATCACTAGTGGATCTTGATTGGCCAGCCACCAGTTAAATCTAAGTAGTTTAAGTTAATGTGGGGAATCTTAGAGGTCAAAGAAACCCAGGATTACAAAATGGAATGGAGCCTTCATGACCAGTGATTTTAATTCACTCATGACTCAGCATGATGTTCTGCAACCAGCAAATACCATTGATTGTTCATTTCTAAATTTTTGCCCACCCCCCTCATCTAATGTTATATTTCAACTTTCAGCTTTCTTCTCTGGCCTCATTTCTCTGGAAACCATCTTATCTCTTTATTCTGTTCCCCGCACCCCTGCCTTTTTCATTAATGCTTCTTTAGAAACTGTCTGTGATTCCCAGATACTGCCCTGGAGGATAGGGGAGGGGAGTGTAAGTATCTTGACGCTTATTCTGCCTTTTTGCTCCTCTGATCTCTTTCTTCTCTAAGCTGCTCTGTCATTTCCTCTATTTAAATCTTACCTCTTTCATCTCTTATGGTGAATTCTTTATGGCAATCCTCTTTTGTGAGCAAATAGTCATGACATCCATTCCGTTTCTAATAAGCATTATTATATATTGGCCTTCTGGAACATACTGTAAGGCCATTGGCATTGTAGAAGTCTGGCTGCTGGGACAGTGTCCATATGTCCTCTGCCATGGGCTCACCCAGGAGGCACCAGTTATGAGCTCCCTGGGTGCTGTGATTAGGGGTTGTCTTGTCCATTGTTACATCCCTGTTAAGCCTGGCACAGAATAAGTATTCAGTGGGTACTTGCTGAATTAACCCACAACTATGAGATTCTCATTAGTTTCAGGTAAGATAATGAAACCTTTAGCCAAATAGAAAAGTTTGGGTTTATTGCATAACAACGGAAAAATCTTCACTTGACTACATAGATTCTGATTGTAGATAGTACATGCCATGGTAGCAATGCATTTTATTTACTTATAATATTTTTTTTAGTTGTCAATGGGCCTTTATTTTATTTATTTATATTCGGTGCTGAGGTTCAAACCCAGTGTGTCACACATGCTAAGCAAGTACTCTGCCACTGAGCCACAATCTCAGCCTCTTATTTTGTTTTGTTTTTGTTTTTATTTTTTTTTAGTTATAGTTGGACACAATGTCTTTATTTTATTTATTTTTATGTGGTGCTGGGGATCGAACCCAGAACCTTGCACGTGCTAGACAACCACTTTACTGCTGAGCCACAACCCCAGCCCCCTTTTATTTGTTTTTTAAATATGGAACACTTCACAAATTTGCTTGTTATCCTTGCACAGGGCCCGTGTTAATCTCTGTATCATTCCAATTTTAGTATATGTGCTACCAAAATGAGCATTAACAATCCATTTTAATCAGCTGATTAAAAAGATGAAAACTTAGAAA